CGAAAACCTTGGCCTCCGCTCCGTGTACGTCGTTCGCTAATGGAAGTCAAACTGGATCACGATATGCGCACATCGTCGAGGGTCGGCAGCGGCAATTCGAGATATCCATGAAGCCGGCTTATCCTCTCCCAGGAGCCAGCCGCCGTAAAGTAAAGTAAAGTAAGTATGAACCACTGAAGAGGTACTGGCGTAGACTGTAAAGGGTATACAACGTTTGTTATTGGCGTTCATCCACCAACTGTGATGGTTATGGAAATATCTTAGTATGAATAGACAATATCTAGACCGGGTTCCAGCCCGGCATGCGCCCAGTGGATTGGGGCCTACCAACCAAGGTTAGCGTTTGAATCCATCCTGATTAGAGCGCACCTTGATGTTGTTGGCTAATTTGCGTAACTCAGTAACCCGAGAGAACCACACAAGACGTCTTTTGTTAAACCAAAGATGTTATCTTACCTGAAAGGTAAGAGACTAGAGGTCAAACAAAGTCTAGTCTCCGTGACCTCCGGGTTTGGAATTAGACTCGAATTGGCGTCTAACTCGGAAAAATGATGGCAAAGTAATCGATCGAAGTAGATAAGTCTCCAACTTCACCTGCTGCCTTGCTGTCAGGATCTTGTCACATCAGTCCTTGATCACTCATTGCATGGGGTTTCTCGGCCCCCCTGGCCCAAGAAAAAACGTAACCACGGGTCCTCACCGGAGGCCTATACATGGAATGTCAGACCCGCAGGACAACGGGACGAAAATGAGAGTCCGCAACCCAGTACTCAGTTCATTCAGTTATTCCCCTTTCGTAATCATCATCATTGTACAACGCAATGCAATGAAGCGAACTACATTGATGGCTGCCAAACTCATATTGCATACAAGGTAAATGAGAATGTTTAAGAACGATAGAAATTGAACTTGATTTTGGGGACGGGAAAAGAAAGCGAACCTCTATGGTCAGCATACAGAGTACACAGTTCAACTGTGCATGCATACAATTCCAAGCATTCTGGTCTGACAAGAAGTGACAGCAGGATCGACACTGCTGTCGGTTTGCTGCTATGACTGTCAGTATCTCCGACCATCCGGTTACGGAGTCTTTTGGATCATAACCCTGAGGATGAGAGACACCCACCCTCCCTAACCACGCTGTGCGTTTCTTCATGCCTCGTCTTCACGTAATCTGCTGACCTCCACGTGGCTTCCTTCAGTCTGTGGTGGCCACTGCAAATAAGACGCGGTGCGGTAGACAACCGTCAGGCATAAGCAGAACGTGTGCTAACCAACAGAGCCTATTGAGCTGAACTGGATGTGATAGCGAGTTCTTTTTTGATGCATTCCCAAACACCCGACAACTTACTTCTAGGTTACTAACCCGCTCATTCCATCTCACCTGGGCCAGATTATGCAAGCATCGATTGTCGGAAACCACTAGGCGACGGGTGTCTTCTAACCGCAAATTCAAGGTCTCACAACCGTAAAGTAGAACTAATCGTACAGTGGCACAGTATACGCTACTTTTTAACTTCAATGAAACATCACGCCACAGGTGTTTAAGTCCTGTGTACGCTCCTAGACTTGAACACCGGTGGCGGCGACTCTTTGGATTAGGTCATACGTTCATAATGCACAGAACACCTCGGTACCTCAGTGTATCATGAGCATATAATCCTTATCAAAGGCAACGAGTGCAGCGGTTAGATTGTGAACTCTCAAAGTAAAATAATCGTTTAACCGGATTGCTCCATCCTCTCAATTCGGTGCACTTCTGTTGGTTCACGGTTCATAGTAATATCAAGCGAGTAAGATTAGTCTTATTGCGCAGGAAATTTTTCTGACCTAAAATATTAGAAAACGGTCGATCCGATGAGTGGAAATTCGTAGGTTGCGAGCCCTTAATGGTAGGCTATGTAACACATGAAGAACTTATGAATTATTGTTATATTTCACACGCATCTCATTCCAAACTGTGCCAAACAAAAATCATATTGCAATACTCTTCATAAAAAGAAAAAAAGTCTTATGATTTGCGTATGGGCTGAATACTGCCGGGTTTCCCAGGCCAAGGCAAATGAATCCTCTTGGGGAATTCACTGCCGGAGCCTTCGACTGGCCAAAGCCTGACCAGTAAGGCAGCGGAATGGTATGCGAAAACAGCAATCCATGGGAACCGGTGTCCAGTTCAACAAGGCATACGCCCTTTGGATGGGGCGAAACTTCCAAGGTGCCCAATGCATCCCGATACCCAACTGAGCCGGTGACCAATGTCACAACCAGGAAGGTGTAGGTGGTTGTGGTTCGCACGCCGGTTTGAGACGCTTGGTTGTTTAGGTGAATTTCACGAGGTGCAAGGGGAGTGACCAGCCACAATCCAAGACGTCCTCCCCCGACCATACTGAGGCTTTCGGAGGCAACAACTTATATGGAAAAACAATTGCAAAGAACAAAGAAAACCAGGGCTGTTTTGTTTCACCTTGCACTTTTTGATATTTATGTTTTCAAAGGGGCACGGATTTTGAACGGAGAGATCATGCAGCATTTGCATCACCGAGTTCCGTTCCGATTCATACCTCTCAGTATCTCTAGACAACGACAGTCGTCATCCATTGGACCCCAACCTGAAAGGCGGGCTGCACTAACGGAGTCCAATAGTGAAGATAGCTTCTTCATTCTCAAAGGCCACGTCACAGTTCGACCACTGCGTCGCCTCTTCCAGCCATTCCAATCATGTGCAAAGAGAGCACGGATAGATAGACATTGAACAGAGAAAATGACCAAGCCGTCAAAGGTGATGTAGATTAATGTCTCTCAGAGAACAGCTGTCGGCGCCCAACACACGACAACGAACGTAATGCCTCTTCCGGTGCCCCCACCAAACAAGAGCAATACTTCGAAGGCATCGGTAGTCAAATACAGAAAGTGGATTAGCATCCTCATCTCGGTGATACTGTCTCTCGTAACCGTAGAGCATAACGCTTTGAACATCGTAGGGGGCGGGGTAACAAAAAAGGAAACCAGTTTTTGTTACGTATATACTTCTTTCTTCATCTTAATGAAAACAGTCTCCTCGTTATTCCTTATTGATAAATGCATACCGCTTTCATCACTCTCAAAACTAATTGTCCTGTTCTAGGTACCATGTTATTGCCACTACAATTGATTTTGATTTCATTCCTGAGATTCCAACTCACTGAATGCGTTTCGTGCCATGATGATCAGGGAAATCCTGTGGACTGGTAGGCCGTCAACCTCCCTCACTTAGTTCCATTCTCACTCGACAGGTTTGTCGGGTACAAATTTCCTCAAAGTTTTCGATACGTTTACATCACCCCCGGATCCAACGAATGGCAA